CCCCGGGGGGGGGGGGGGGGTCCATCCACCCCCCTTGTACCACGGTGGGGGTATGAATTTGCATGTACGTGCGAGGGTTAATAACAAGAACGGTACTATCAGAAAACAATAAAAAAAATTGCCTTCAATAAAAAACCGGTCAACTTTGCTCTGCATTGTATAGAGCATTATGACCATTGCTGTTTCCCGATATCAGCCTCACGTACACATTGTTCATACGAAAAAATGTTAATCCGGGAAAGAGAGTCGCCCTCTCTGCCGAGTATTTTCTCCATTATTATTATTTTTTATTTTTTTATTTTTTAAAGTAAGGAAAAAGTTGACACCTTTACTCAAGCCAACATCGCTCGCTTATGTTCTGACTAGACGAACAGTTGGGCGAGCCAAACTGTTTATATGAGGAAACATTGACCCGGATAGGAGAGTGACCCTATCATCGAATTCATTCTCTCTTTTTGTCAACAGCAAGTCTTTATTCGTACCAATCGGCAGCAACATGAGAAAACAAAGTATAATGAAAATCAGTACTATCTTCCTAAAATAACAAGTAACAATCAAATAACGAACTTCAAAGCACGAACCGAAAAAAAGCTGTGGCCATCTTGCACTTCGATAAACGTCGATAAAATCACCTAAGCTAATTTATCCCTGTCTGCAATAAATTTTATCCTTGAAGAGACTTTCATTTTTTTCTGATTTCAAATCTCAGTTAATCCATGGGCCCCAATACCCATTTTTGAGCGCCAGTGTCTTTGCTTCTGGATCAGCGTCAACTTTCCCAGAAGGTACCTCGCCCTTCTTGTAATAGCTGATTCTCCTTCTTAACGTCCTTACCACATCCGGGTACGTGCGTCTGAGGTCTTGACTCTCATTTGGGTCAGCAGTGATATTGTAAAGTGCAGCTCTAATTTTGCGACCAGATTTCTGCGGATGATAAAAGGAGGCAGTTAGAAGATTAAAGAAAATATGTATATGAAGCAATGTCTCTTGCCATGTTACAACTAAACAACTAAACATTTAACTAAACTGGATGATAAGATTTTAAATAGCAAATCGCAGCTCGTTAGTTTGTTGATAATAAATTTTGTGGGATTAAAAGAAGGAAAGTGGATATAATCAGCACGTCAGCACACAGGCGGCCCAAGCTCAGTGTGTGAGTTTAATCATTAATACATGTAGTTTCATACTTCGTTATTTAAAACGGCCATGAATATAAGGGATTTGTATCGGAATTCAGGTAAAAGATTCAAGTAGATAAATACTCGCTAGAATGTTCAATAAAATAAAGCTTACCGTATTTACTTTGCTTGTTTTTGCCTGCTGTTTGGATATTTCTTCGATGCATTGCGTTTTAAGCGATTTCCTTTAACCCCGAGTTTCCAGGGTTAAAGGAAATCGCTTAAATTACGCAACATGAAACTACATCTATTAATGATTAAACTCACACACTGAGCTTGGGCCGCCTGTGGTCAGCACGGTATTGGTGTATTGGTGTAATGGTAACTTCATGTATGGTTCAGAATTCGTTGATGGCAACAGTTCATTTAATTATGGACAATATTTTGCAGTGGAAAAACCTCCATCCAGTGGATAACGCAACTGGTCTCGTACGGAATACCCAGTTACGTGTGGGGGAGCGGAGGTGAGAGGTGACCAACATGTAAAGCGGGCAGAGAGGCTCTTCGGGCAATTGGGACTACACCTAGCATGTCCTAAGCTTAATTTCACCCCTAGAAGATACCATTCTAGTAAATAGCAAGATGAGGGCCATAGCAATGTGACTGCCTCAAACAATGCAGAATTATTAGTGGTGAATGTTGAGTTTTCTCTTAATACTACTGAGTGATTAAAAGTTTGCGGACCTCTCTAGAAACCAACCTCCGATAAATTTCAAGTGTTTAATTGGTTTAAAAATACTTTAAGTCAAATTCCCATCAGTCCCAAGGGTTCAGTAGACTGGAAATTCTCTATCCCATCATGCTCCCTTGTTAATACCTTTTTCGTTTTCCTTGTTCCAGAGGACAACTCTGGCGGTTCGTACCATTCTTTATCGTTTACGTTTAACAACAGCTTCATGTCGCCCACACGAATTGCCGCACTGTTTCCGTCAATATTGTGAAGAATCTCTGTTCTTTCTGATGGGACCCCTTCGGAAATTGCGGGCCATATGTTGAAGCCATCCAGCGCTGAACTATCAGAATCCTCTTCTATGCCTGACAAGCAACAAGAAGCAAAGTTAATAGAGTTTTGGTTTTCTACTACTTAAAAATGGACAATTAACAATTCTTACAGAGCACTTCAGTTATCTAAAGGAGTGACATGATCTAAGTATTTGTTACAATCAATGGGGGCAAACCTGCAAGATGGAGGAGGGTTGGGTACCAGTCAGTCACATGAAAAAGCTCCTTGCACTTGACTCCAGTCCTCTGCAGCATTTTTCCATGAACAAAACCCACTCCTCTGACCCCTCCCTCCCAGAGGCTTCCTTTTTCACCACGAAGAGGCCAGTTGTAACCACCTTCATCAGGTGCCCCGCCATTATCAGTAGTCACAATCAGCAAAGTGTTGTCCCATAAACTAAACAGAAAGTAAAGCAAAACGAATAATCTAAGTGACGCATAAGAAGGTACAACTAACAGGGCGAATACAAAAGGAGCTAAGGATGGATATTCTTGAAGAGATTAACGGACTGCAATTGTGGATTTTGGAAACTTGATAGCATACCAGATTTTCAAAGTTCATTTTTGTTGTTTGTGACGTTTCATATAATACTTGGGATAAAGATTTGTTTGACACGAAGCGGTGATTTAGTCATTAACGATTTATTTCTCAAGTATTGGCTTAAGCTCAATATTTTAAGCCCTAGAAGAGACCATACTAGAACAGGCAATCAAACAAGCGCTATAGTGATTTTAATTCCGCTAAAAATGTTGACACCAACACTGTCTTCAACACAGTTTGGTCACTTTTGCCTCAAGGACAAATTTAACGAACACAGACGTCCAGTCGACAAAACTAACATTAAATCTAAACCCACTAATGTTTCTGAACATTTTCTCTTTCACTCTGACCATTCTCTCACTGACATGCAGTTAATCTCATTAGAGAAAATTCATTCTTCACGTGACTCGGTCACTAAGGCGAAGGAGTCACATTTGATAGATTAGGCCATGACTCTTGAACCTAATGGCCTAAACTGCCGTGACGAATCATTGTAATCCATATCCTTATTAGTTTTTCTTTTCTTTTCTATGTTGTACTTCATTTCCACCTCTCCCTTTTCAAAAATGGTTATTGCGACATTTCTATT